TTCAAAGTTTTTGGCCGTTATGGGAAAATGCAGAGAGATGAAAGAGTCAAAGAAACGTTTACTGCCACGTGTAATCACTTGATTCGTTGAGACACGTAAGCAATCATTATGGGCTTTAATTTAGAAGCAACTGATAATATTGGGCTTTTAATTAGGCCCGAAGAGAGGTTGAAGTCAGAGCCATTTCACACTCTATTAGTCAGTAAGAAGAAGCTAGGGTTTTGAGAAGAGTCGTTTTGTCTGCGCCATGAAAAAACGAACGAAGAAAGTCTCTTCAACTTCAATGAAACGAAGAGGTTACTGCTCAGAGACGATACCAATCGATCTCATTATCGAGATACTCTCGAGATTACCGGCGAAATCAGTGACAAGGTTTCGTTGCGTATCGAAGCTATGGGATTCCATAATCCTCCGATCCGACCACATTTCACTGAGTTGTTCTTGACAAGCTCTTGGTCTCGCCCGAAAATCTTGTTCTCCTGCGAAAAAAACGGTAAGTTGGTCTTCTTCTCGTCTCCTCAGAGTCAAAATCCGAATGTGGACTCGTCTGTTGTTGTTCGTGCCGACCCCCTGCCTCTTATGCGGTTTCGCTTTGATGGTTCATGTCGAATTGTTAGTTCTGTCTCTGGTTTGGTTTGTGTTGCACAAGGAAATGGAACATCCATGGTGTTATAATTCAACTCTGGTAAACTACAAGGGTAAATTATGTGCTCTTCTGTCGGATGGGGTTTACACTGTTACAAGAGAACGGAAATGTTTTGAATTTTGGGTTCTAGAAGACGCAGAAAAACATGAATGGTCGAAGCATATATTCGTGTTACCCTCATGGTGGAAGAGTTAATGTAGCTGGAGAGACCTTGTTCTTCTTTGTTGGAATGACTGGTACAAACGAAATTGTGTTGGTGCCGCGCTATCTACTCGACCCTTGCTATGTTTTCTACTACAACACCGAAATGAAAACAATCAGAAGAGTTGAAATCCAAGGTATGGAGGCATTTAAGAATTGTAGAGTTCATATTTCTATAAACCATGTAGACAATCTGAAGCTTTATGTAACTTTTTAGGACTTTAAAACTTGAGATTTTGTAAGAGATTGTGGGTTCTTAGTACAATTGTTATCTTACTGGATGACTATAGTTTCTGTTTTAAAAAAAGAACAAAAAGGCTTCAACCAAATATAGAGCTTAATAAATATTGCTTAATCTGATATACTGTATAGTTGATACAGTTTAATTCTTAGATCAATCAAACATTTCCATGTCGATGAATTATTAGATTTTGATTTGGGACAAAACTAGCACTGTAGCAAAGAGTTTTGAATCACTAGTATAGATGTGCGATAAGTATCACTTTCA